TCAAGCTCGCTTTTCACCAGCTTATTGGGTTGAAGTTCTTCACACCTATTCACCTTCTAAACATTCTTCCTTCATCTTACATTGCCAACCAAACACCTTTCCAAAAACTCTATAACAAATCACCTTCTTACGACCATCTCAAAACGTTTGGTTGTTTGTGCTTCCCAAGCATAAATTTCTCATCTCTTCACAAGCTTCACCCACACTCTGCTCCATCTCTCTTTCTCGGATATCCAACAAACCACAAAGGGTACCGTTTTCTTGACCTAAAGAACAGAAAAATCATTATACCTCGTCATGTGGTCTTTGACGAATCTATTTTTCCAGCAGCAGAGCGCCAGCAAAACAATCCAAACACTTATCTTTTCTTGGAGCACACAGAACCATCTCCTCTATTTAAAGATATTCTTCAGAAACCTTTGATGCCGGTTGCTCATCTTCCAGCACCGGCGCTCCCACCTCAAAGTACACAACAGGTTCTTGCTCCACTGGCACAAATTTTCCAAAGACATTCTATGACTACTCGCAGCAAGGATGGTACCCGAAAACAAAAACAGATCCTTTCCCTTCATACCACAACTATTTCTCCAATTCCAAATAGCTACCTAAAAGCTCTCCAAGATTCGAATTGGAACCCATCAATGGGAGATGAGTACGGTGCTATGGTTAAGAATAAGACGTTTACGCTAGTACCTAGACCTCCTGATGCTAACATTATTTGCTCTATGTGGTTATATAAACATACGACAGGTGTAGAAGGAGAGGTTACACGACACAAATCTCGCTTGGTGGCCAACGGAAAATATCAAGATCAGGGTCTCGACTACGATGAAACATTCAGTCCAGTGGTCAAACCTGTCACCAAACGATTCGTCATTCATCTTGCACTTGCAAACGACTGGGAAATCCACCATCTCGATGTAAAAAATGCTTTCCTCCATGGCCACCTTGATGAGACTGTTTATATGCATCAACCGCCGGGGATGGCTGATAAATCAAAGCCTCATCGCGTATGGAGATTTATCAAAGCGATCTATGGGCTGAAGCAAGCGCCGCGAGCTTGGAACGCACGGTTCTCCAGCTTTGTCTCTAAGCTAGGCTTCATCAAAAGCGCAAGTGACACCTCTCTCTACGTTTATGACAAAGGACCATATAGAGCTTACATCCTTCTCTACATCGACGATATACTACTCACGGCTTCTTTGCCTAAACTTCGAAAAACACTCACTTCTCTGTTGAAGAAAGAGTTCAAAATGTCCGATGCTGGTCGACTGAGTTATTTTCTCAGGATCAAAGTAGACTACAAGGCTGATGGATTGTTCCTATCACAGTCTGCTTATGGTAAAAATATTCTGCTTTGTGCTAACATGCAGGACTGTAAGCCTATATCAACTCCAATTGATCTCAAGTCCAAACTATCCGCAAACGATGGAGACAAAGTAGAGGACCCGACTTTGTATCGAAGTATTGCAGGAGCCCTTCAGTATTTGACTCTAACTAGACCAGATATACAATATGCAGTTCACCAATTGTGTCTATACATGCATGACCCACGGCTCCCACATCTTCTTGCCATGAAACGCGTTCTAAGATACATCCAAGGAACTCTATCAAATGGATTGTGCCTCTACAAATCCTCATCAAAGTCTTTAACAGCCTACACAGATGCTGACTAGGCGGGTTGTCCTGATACGCGTCGATCCACCTCTGGTTACTGCATCTAGTTGGGTGACAATCTCATATCATGGTCATCGAAACGACAATCTACAGTCTCACGCTCCAGCTCGGAAGCAGAATACAAAAGGGTCGCCAATGTTGTAGCAGAGACTTGTTGGATCAGAAACTTGTTACTTGAGCTTAAGTGTCCAATTACGACTGCAACTCTGGTTTACTGTGACAATGTAAGCGCTGTCTATTTCTCCAATAACCAGGTCAAGCACCAGAGAACAAAACATGTGGAAATTGACATATATTTCGTTCGCGAAAAGGTAGCAATGGGTGCAGTTCGAGTTTTGCAAGTACCTTCTTCAGCTCAACATGCAGACATTTTCACAAAGGGTCTGCCATCTCCCTTATTCAACGAGTTCAAGAACAGTCTATATGTTCGAGCACCCAACGATTAGACTGAGGGAGGGTGAAACAATATGCCAACATACTTCCCGATATTCTTGGAACCTCTATCTCACTTAGTTTCTATCGCTTGTAAAGTGGAACAACATAACAATATTGTGTATATATATCCTCTGTAATCTTACGTTGAATGATAAGGAAGATCAGTTTATTTCATGTCCATCTTCTTCGATCTCTGCGTTAAACTGTCAATGGAGTTCAGGTAAGGTTCTATGAGACGCACCTGCATGACTAAATTCTGGATCGAGTTTGCTTCGTGACGTTTCATCTGAGTTTCATCTCCTCTGAACTGTTACCGAAAGCATTTATTCATTGCAATTTTTGACGTTCTTAATTCCTTTGATCCACTCCAACGTATATATATACATCTGCTCTTGCAATTTGTTTTTTTGGGTGTTCTTTTATGGGTGTATATATACTCCTTAATGCTAGGGTAATTCCGGTGTACAAAATATCGATTATCATTTTTTTAAAAGGAAAAACCAGTGTAAAACCCAGAATTATCAAAAAAAAAAAAAAAATTGGTCAAAATCTTTAATTTATCTAACTGAGATTATTTCGATCACGTTTGTTGATTTTGTGTCTATTTTTCCATGTTCTGCAGTCGACCCTGATGCTATCCTCCGTCAACGCCCACTGCGATCCTGGCTCATCTCCTCCACCAAGCGGATATCACATCTATATATATAAAGCTTACCGAGGCGTCTTGGTACTTTTACAGCGCCTTGGCATGTTCTTAGTATTACAGATATTTCTAGACAAAAACGTCGAGAAGATGACTGTTACCAATATTCACTTAGCCGACTTGAAGACAGGAAATTGTAAGAAACGGTGGTTACACGACTTCTGCGTTTTTGGGAGGTTACAAATGTGAAGAAAGGAGGAGGGCTGATGGGTGTTGAAGTTGATGTGAAATTAATCGTTATAAACCCTCAAAATTTCTCAGATTTTGATTTGGTGTCATGTTTTGTTGTAATGAGTATTTCGGTTATTCTTTTAAGCAAGTATGGTTAATCTGGTTTTGGTCAGTCTACAGGACATGTACTATATCTGTTACCGGTCTGTTGTGTTATTCAAACTCCGGAGTCTCTGCTTCTGGTGACCTGCCCTCTCCTCCTTGTGAAGGTCTTGATTGGCCATTGAATCAAGCCAGATCATTCAGGTGTAACTCAACGGCTAATGCGGCGTAGACCGAACCCTCAAGGATTATTTCACTACGTAACAATCACTCCAACCAATTCATTTGTATTCTCCACTTCATCACCATTGATCAATGGGAAGCAACCTATACAGTGAATGGAGTCTCTTATGTTAACTCAAAGAGGCTTCTTAAACTCGCTGATCACTTCAAGATCTCTGGAGTTTTCAGCACAAATGCTATTCAGAGCGTCCCTTCAAGCTCTCCTGCAATAGCTACATCATTTGTTCAAGCATCTCTCCATGATTTTCTCAAAGTTGTGTTTCAGACAATGAGGCGTCAATGCAGTCTTGGCACCTTGACGATCAAAGAAGGACATTATAATTTTATTTTCATAAAATAAAAGGTTAGTTTAGAAATAAATATTTTTATAGTGATTCAGTTAAAAAAAACAAAATTTCAAAAAAATAATCAATTTAATTAATTTATATTAAGAACTTACTTTTTAAATAACAATAAATTCATAGAAATTCTCTAACAAACGTCTTCAACATATACATATGTATACTAAACCATTATAATATTTAATATATAAAATATAAATATCTAATAAAGAAAAGAAGTAATTTAATTTTACATATAACATGTCTATATAAAATAATTCTATTGAAATATCTAAAAAAAAAAAAACAAATAATTTTATTCCGTAATAAAATAAAAACAAAATATAATAATTTAATTATGTGTAATAAAATTATTGTTAGGATTATATTTTATAACTTAGTAAGTCAAATTTTATTTCAAAATTTCTAATCGATTATTTGATAACATGGTTAACTTCGTTTTCACATATAATAATACATATAAGATTCTAACAAAAATGTATATACATATAATGATAGTTTCATAGTATTATTGTTTTATTTGTAGTAAAATATTTGTTAATCATGAATCAGTTCTTTCTTTGACACCGCGTAAATCATTAGTTTTAAGAGAATGTATAATAAAAAAAAAAAAATTCATGAAACAAATATATAACTAAGCGAAAAAACTATTTACTACAGTTGACAGTAAATATATTTTTTAAAACTATAGGATTAATTTATAGAGATAAATTAAAATAAACAATGAGAAAAAGTAAATAGTTCTATTTTAATTTTTAGTATAAGTAGACCAAGTATATAATTTTTACAATAAACAGTAAAATAAATAATAATTGTTATTAATTATTGTATTTTTTTAAAAGGCTTTAGTTTATTTGCAGCATATATGAAAACAAATACGTTTGCATAGTAGAAGATATAAGAACAACGATTGAAACAGAGTTACCATTTATTATGATTTATTTGATATCTGCAATAAAATGTTAAATAACTATGACTATGGTTATTATACTATGATTCTAATTTTTTGACAGATGTAGTGTATATGGAGGATAAATAACAAACGAAGTGATGGAGCAAGTGGTTGAGAAACAATCGGTTATTTTTATTAAAATAAATAATAAATGAATTTGGTAAATTAATATTTAGGTATTTAAAATCAGTGTTATAAGATGGTAAAATTTTAAGAAAAGTTAGGGGTATTTTTAATTTGTATTCATGTTTTAATAGTTTAGATATAATACATGCTGTGCACAAAAAAAGAAAGAGGATATAATACATGCAGGCCAATGGGCTTATGAGTATAAATATGGACTTGACCTAGGCTAGAGATAATAATATCCATCGAAAAAGGTTCCGCTGGGGCGGGCAAAATCCCGCTCTTTCTTGTCGATCGAGACGCGCCAAAAGCGAAATTCGATCGTCTTTTTAGATTCCATTTCGAAGAGGACAATTTCACCTGAGGCGGCAACAAATCGAATCGAGGGAGAGAATGTTCGGGAGGCTAAGACCGCCGCCAACTTCCCCGGACAGTCTAGAGAGATATCCAGCGAAGATCATCAAAGACGATCCTCTCTCCGTCTACGGTAACTCTTTCTCTCACGATCTTTTTCCCAGTTTCAGATTCCGACCACTTGTTCTTTAATTGACCAGCAAAAGAAGCTCGATTTCAAGATTTAGGTTTCTTTTTTTTTTATGTCATTGTAGAGTCAACACTGCTTAAGCTTAAGCAAGGCTCAAGACTGGACACTATTGGTCCTTCAGAGTTTGAGAATCCTTCAGATGCACAGCGAGGAGCTCATGATGTGACTCTGTGCAATGGCTCTGACGATGCAATGGCTATAGACTCGGCTTCTTGTGTAAAGAAGAAGAATCCGTCTGTGGTATCTATGTTTTGCAGGTACAAGAATCAAGATCAGGCACGAAACTTGTCTAACGCTGTTGATACCACAAAGACAGAGACTGAGAGTGCTTTGTAGACTCAAGTTAATGCGACCAGATAGTTACCCGAGATTTTTCATATTGCCAAGAACGAAGTAATTGTGCTGAGTTTATTGATGATGTATAAATGTAACTAAACGATTCTGTTTGTATACTATGCTTTTTTTTCTGTTTGTGTGCATCTATAAAATTGTTGGTTAAATTTCTACGCTTTGATTTAACCACCTGAAAAATTGTAAAGAAAGAGAGAATCATTGTCCCAATCAAAGCAGTAGAAGCAGCAGAACCACCTGAGTGGATTTGATGTTGGTATATAAACTATGATCTAGTACAGAAATTGCCTAAATCAACCAAAACATATGCATTTAAACAAGTAGTAGGTTTTTGATAATGAGGCCATAAGTGCGTACTATCTGAAAATAAGAAGTCAACATGCCATTCTAAACTCTAAAGAATCTGTGTTTACGACGTTTCTGCAGTACGTTGCCATGATCTGGGATTAGAGAGGGGTCTAAGTGCATTGTCATTGGTATCACCTTATCATATTCGTTCCAGTGAACGCCTTGTGTGCTACTTTTGCTCAGTGTGGTAATTAACTTCATTTGCCTAGTTGCAATGTCAAGAGAGACAATTCTTTCGGGCAAACAAAAGTAGACGAGGAGAGGACTGTATGGGTGACAACACAAAGGTTTTGGATAAAGAATCCGCTTTCTGGTTTCTGTATGAGAGACGAAACATGACATAAACTTATAGTTTTGGCCAGAGTATGTGCAGTCTTGCAGCCAAGGGAAGTCAGTGAAAGAGATAGCCTCATGCTCTTGTCTCCATATGGATCGTTTGTAGTCCACAAGTGTCCAGATATAGAGATGTTGATGATCAACAGATGCAACGAGCTGAAGGATGCGTAGATAGCCTATGGAGACAGTTAAGGTCTCTGAGACAATTGCGTCGGCACCATAAGAAGCATGAGACATGTCGTGGGAGCGATGGATGAGTAGGCATGTGTTTTGATCATTAGGGTTGTAAGCCACGACAGGCCCATCCTCTGCTAACCAATGTAAAGCTCCTTTAAAGGCCAAGGCTTGGTATTGAGTTGGACACCATCCGGATTGTGACCAAGGCTGGTGTTGAACCCCAACGCTCTTCCATGTACCGAGCATAGAGTTAAACAAGAATAATCTAAAGTAGGAATGTGTAGACATAAACAAATTGACAACATGGTAAAGCCCTTTCGTCCCATTGCCTATTAATCCAATTGGTAATCCCCAAGTCGAACCGCAGGGATCAGGAAGACGAGTCCACTGCATAGTCACAGGATTCACAATATACAGTTCTTCAGATTTCATGCACAACAATACATCTTTGCAAGAGGCTAGAACACAAATCGGAGGATCAAACTCGGGATCAACGTAGTTGCTTAGGTCGAACCCTTTCCAAACCTCCAAGCATATGTCGTTTGTAGCATATTGATGAGGTTGGGTGTTGAGTACCAAAGCCAAGCTTGGGTTGTGATGAGAAGAAGAAGAAGAAGATATGAGAGAGTTCCATCGCTTGCTAACGTTTTTACAAGACACGAGATCTCTAGGGTTACATAGCTTGGAAAAAATCTCTTGCAGCAGCAAGCTCTCAGGTAAATCATCGATGATATTTGGTTTTTCAACTTTGCGTTTTCTTCTTCTTCTTTCAATCCAGTACAAAGCTCTTTTTGATCTCTTTCTTTTTCTCAACGATGGCATCTATGGTCTCTCGTTCTTACTAATTAGTTTATTTCGTATTGTAAGCTTAATAAACCTTGGTCTATATATATTGACTTTTTTCCTTTTAACTTCTCCTATTTTCCTTTTTCTTTTGGGATGTATATTTCCTTTTGGCTTTCATGATGTGGGTAGCTCAGCTTGATAGACTGCCAACAAGAACTCGCCTAGCTTCGTGGGGTATCCAGACTGTTGATTGTTGCTGCATATGCAACCACTACCGAGAAACCAGAGATCACCTGTTTCTGCGTTGCCATTTCAGTGAACAGGTTTGGACTATGGTGATCAAACGTCTGGGTTTTGCTCCCTTTCTCTTCCACACTTGGACCGCTTTCATTTCTTGGATGGGTGCAAGAGACAACAGATGTCCATCCACTTTGCGCAAGCTCGTCTCTCAAGCCACCATCTACAAACTCTGGTTTGAGAGGAACAACAGGCTCCACAACAACATTGCATCCACGCCTCAACTCACCTTCAAATCCATCGACAGGCTGATCCGCGATTCCATCCTTGCAAGGCAAGCGAAAAAGAAGTTCAAAAATCTGATGCAAGCTTGGCTCAAGTACGAATAGAGTCTACAGTCTCTGTCCCTTAGTTTTTCAAGCTGATTTAGGCCATTCTCTGTTTTTATTTTTTTTGGGCTCAGATTGGCCTCTTGTTTCTACCTCTTGTATAACTACAAGCATCTTCATTCAGTAATGATATTCACATACTTATCAAAAAAAATAATAATTAGGCGCTACAAGTAATTAATATTCTACACAGATTTAATATTTTCTGAAATAAGGAAATATTATATATCCCCATATATTCCTGCATTTTGAATGATCATTCCTACAATTTCAGAAACAACACACAAAGCAAGTTCCACAAAGCAATTTCTTAAAAGGTCATATCACACAAAAGCGTACCAACAACACACAAACAAGTTTTCTAGTTATATTCAAAGCACAAACGTCATCTTATAGTATAGTTATATGTAGAGAGATTGATCATCAAAGAAGTATATATCAACGCACAAGCTGAACGCCGATCTTGTACCTGAGAAAAGCGTCCACAGCGGCTTGAGAGATTTGCGGTAAATCTAGCGCAGGCTTGCTCCAATCGCTGTGCGTGATGTCAGAATCCAGATCAAATCCGTGGTAGGAGTGACTGATGGGGGAAGCTTCGATGACCTGTTTGTAGGAACGGTTTTCTTGAGGAGGAAGAAAGGCATTCACATCGTGGATGTTTGCAACTTGAATCCCAACCTTCTCGAGCTTGTTGGCGTGTGAGTATACTCTCTTCCTTTTAGCTTTTGATTGTTTTGTTTTGTTTTCTTCTATGAACTGTCAAGATTTTAAATTTTGGTTTGCTTTTTAATATATTGTTAGAGTAGCAAGTGTTTCTGATCCACCTCCTCACGGCCTCAGCTTTGTTCGTAACCGTAACATCGAGTCGAGTGCCACCGAACTTAAGCATGAAGGCACGGTGATCAGCATGGTGAGTAGGTTCCATCTCTGTGAGAGTGAGAGGAGGAGGAGGAGGAGGAGGAGCATTGCGTCGTCGTTGATTTGAAGGATCCCTCGCCATTTTTCAAATTCGAGAGAGAGTGGGACGAAAGATACTATTATAAATGTATTTGTTTATTTTGGACTCTTCCTCTCTCTCTCTTTCTTTAATAATATTACTAGATTTCAATCCGTGCAACCGCGCGGGTGTTTATTTTCATTTATTTTTAAATAAACATTTTGTTTTCATTCTAAACTGGTATAATTATAATATATATAAGGTGTGTATATCAATTTTTAAAAGATAATAGTTTTACAATATATTAATTTTTCAATGAATAAATTGTCTCAAACTTTTATATGTATTTGTATATTCTTCTATATATATTTTTCGAATTATTATTGAACTCGTAAAAATTGGTAAAATATTATTTTATTGTCATCTCTTAAAATATTCTAACATTTCTATTTTTTTTTTTAAATTAACAAAAAATAAACTTTTAGTTTCACGTTATGGAGTAAATAATTAAACTTTTAGTTTCACGTTATGGAGTAAATAATTAAACATTTAGTTTCTGTTATTTTTAAAAAAAATATATATAATTTAAAAAAAAAATTTCATTAGTTTATTATTGTATAGATTAATTATTGTTAGAAAATTATGGTTTTTGTTATTTTAAAAAATAAACTATATGATTTTAAAAATTAATATCTACAAATATATAAATAATTAACATATACTATTACAATTTATATTTTTTAATTTAAACATGTATCTTATTATACTATACATCCAATGAGTCATCTAATTATTGTTAGTCCAATCAAAATTTATGGTAAACTCAATAAAAGTTATTAATGATTCAATAATGTAATGTGATAAATTCTAGTAGATGGTCTATTTAAAATATCACACATTAAAAGAGTCATGATTTCTCTTTTAATAGATGAAATTAATAATATAATATAATTGGATGTTATACGTCATAATAATGTTTATGTAGCTTATAATATTATTACTATAAAATTTATAAATTTTATTAACGTTTTTTATATAACAATACTATTTTACATAACCTTTTTATTTTTAAAATTTAAAGTATATGAAAGTTAAATTGAATTGGATCTATATGATAGATGTATATATTTTGGGATGTTGTTAACACATCATAAAATATTTTTTGGGATATTGGTTTCTAAATAGTTTTAAAAATTAATATTGTTTACCAACAAAAAAAAATGATTCATTCATTTTTGAAAATGAATCAATTTAAATTTTTATTATTCAATTATTTTAATAATATGTTATAAATAAAAAATAAATAAATTTTTAAATTATATATATGATATTTAACATTAAAGTTAAATACTTGATAACTAACTTTGGAACTTTTTTTAAAAGACTCTAAGAGATTGTTACAGTTTTCTTTAAAACACTTCTTTATTTTTCAAATAAGAAATAAATATATTAAAGGTTATTATCATTAAGTTATGTAAATATGATATTTTGTTAATGATAGTTCAAATTAATAAAATCACATATGAAAAAGTAATGATGTTAAGAGTTTCATATGCATCGAGATTACATGTTTTGTATACATTGATCTAAAATGTACGGGCCATGATTCTTAAAAGTACACATTGATCTCTTCCTTCTTAAGTCCCTATCTTATAGGAATATAGTTATTATACTCGTAATAGATGAGGTGATTTAATAGTGATGTAAATATGCTATAAATGATACATAATTTTATAGGATTGGTCCAAATTTAAAAAAATCACACATGAACGACTTCTGTTTTAATATATAAGATTTATTATTATTTTTTCATTTATTTATTAATTAAAGGATAAACCGGGTCGAGTAGACTCGCTGACTCTGAGTGACTTTGATTCTGCTATCCTTGAGATTCAACAGTCCCTCGTGTGCCTCCTCTCTTTCGAACAAGCTCATTTCCTTGTGAGTGTCTCCGGTGAAACTTTTTGAATCGAATCTCATTTTGGTTGGGCATTTGGATTGTATTCATTGTAGTTTCATTCATTCTTTATGGCAGGTTGAGATTTTAGATATGCTTCAAGAGAGGGGTAGATGGAGTTAGACGCATGTGAAAGGTAACAAAAAAAATTTTGATCTTGTATGTTGGTTTGTTAGGTCTTATGAAAACTGCATTCTGATAAATTCTATCTTGTTATTGGATATAGTTTTCACAGAACCGATTCTGTAGAGAGTGGAAAAACTAAACAAGAAATTCTAGATTACTTTCTTTGCTAATCTTGGAATACTATTACGCAAATGATATGAGGCATTTAGGATCTTTGCTACCTTAACTTTTCCAAGTATTACATTCTCTTTGTTCCACATCTCTCAGTTAGTATATTGTGAAACTCTGTTTTAGTTAGAGGTGTTTGCAAGGGATCTCTTGGGGGTTTGTTACTTACAGATTGCATATCATACTTATATATTTCCTCAAGTAAGGTAGAAGTATTCTACCTCATGGCTTTACTTACTGCCTTTGTGTGTCTGTCTCTGATGCACATATGATAGGTTATAGTTTTCACAGAAACATGAATTGCAGAAATTATAGAGTTGATTTGGTGAGAAATAAAATTGTTATTTAATTCCTTGATCACACCGTGGCGTGGAGGAGTTGAGAAATAAGTTGTTTACTTGTGTCTCTCTTTGCACCTTGGCAAACGTTTTTTGGTGTAGAATGCATAGAACACCAAGACTCAACTTGATGTTAGATGAATCATGCGACAATTTTGATAGAAAATCAGGTGGACATTAGGCTTTCTTCGGTGTCCTGCATTTTTCAGCATTGTATTTTGTTCAATATTCGAAGAGATATGCTAAAAATGTTTAGGCTTTCAAGTTTCAAAAGCGATAGTGGTTTAATGGTTCAGGGTTTACTTTTCTAGCCATTTCCATGTCAATTTATGTTCTTACATCAACTCTGTAACCGTTTTGGTTATTAGCCACACGTTGATATTTTAAAATCTAGGTAAAGATGATTGTCATCTTCGATTGAGATCAAGGTCAAGTGGGTTTATATAAGTTATTTCTTTTAGATCGGCAGTGACATTAGTGTCTAAAATGTGCGTACGTGTGGCTGATGCCTCTCTGCGATCGGATGATGCCATAACCATTCCTTTTTATGTTGGCTGGTTGATGCTGTCTTGGTTCTCCTTGGGTTTACCAATTATCAGACACATACCCTCTGAGTAAGCTTGTTTGGCTAAAAAATATAAGTTTAGAATACATCTTGTTTGGCTGGTTGATGCTGTCTTGGTTCCTTCCATGTGTTTGACTCTTGGTTGTTGACTCTACTTACTAATAGCCAAAAAGAATTACACAACTTATTTTGACTCGGCCGTCTTTGTACTTCATTGCATGTATGGGTAAGCAGGCTTGTTGGAAATGTATGGTTTTGGTAACTCTACTTTCTATGTCGACTTGATTGCTAAATTTTTGCTGGTTTTAATCTTTGAAGCAGAATTCTTTAAACAGTTTGTTCCCCTCTTATCTGGATCTGGAGGCTAGCAGCCTGCTAGGGTAACAACAACATATTTGAACCTCTGATGCAACTTCTTGGCAAGGCGTCTCCGCTTGGATGTCTGTATGCAGTAATCATTGCCTTCTTAGCATAGTAGTAATAACATGTGTTAGTTTTATTATAATGTATGTATTCTTTAAACCGTTCAGTTATTTGTTTTGGAAATAGAAAAAAAAAAGGAAAAAATGTTAGCCAGCTACACGAAGTATCACCCATCACATGGCTAACCATGCCAAATTTAATAATGTATGGCAAGCTACACCAAGTATATGTTATGCATGCAAACATCCCCGAACTATATGATGTTATGTAATCAACATCATTATCTTAATTAAAGTCGAGCATGAGTGACACGTGGACACCTAGACCATAAACATTGTTAACTCTCTCTTAACTCTCTGGTTTAACTCTTCGGTTTAGGAAAATTTAAACCAGAATGGAAATCAGACAATAGGACCAGACCAAATAAAATTGGGGCATTATTTTTAATTCGGCCCAAATGCAATCCTATCTCCCCCTTCTTTTTCATCGTGAAAGACAGACATAAAATTTAGTGTTTTAAATTTTCACAAATCAGTGTGAGAAAGGAAGTTGGTGTTTGCTTCATATGTTAACAAATCGAGAAAGAAGAGTAAAGCAACCCTGAATTCTCACAACCATCTTTTCAATACATATGTGCACCTCCTTATACCATCGACCTGCTATTTCCAATCTCTTCTTACTTTTCTCTATATTTTCTCACAGAGACTTAATATCTTCAATTTTTTCATATGGGAGCTTGAACCACAGTTTCCCAACGACGATCTTTCTCTCAGGCATTTTTGACACCAAAGAAGCGTGAGAATTCAGAGTTTCTCTACTCTTCCTTTTCGATTTGTTAAAATATGAAGCAAACACCAACTTCCTTTCTCCCACTGATTTGTGAAAATTTAAAACCCTAAATTTTCTATATGCAGTTCACTATGAAAAAGAAGGGGAGGGATAGGATTGCATTTGGGCCGAATTAAAAATAATGGCCCAATTTTATTTGGTCTGGTCCTATTGTCTGGTTTCCATTATGGTTTAAATTTGTCTAAACCGAAGAGTTAAACCAGAGAGTTAACAACGTTTATGGTCGGGGCGTCCATGTGTCACTCACACTCGATTTTAACTAAGCTAATGATGTTGATTACATAACATCATATAGTTCGGGGATGTTGGCATGCATAACATATACTTGGTGTAGCTGGTCATACATTATTAAACTTGGCATGGTTAGCCATGTGATGGGTTATACTTCGTGTAGCTGACTAACATTTTTCCAAAAAAAAAAAAGAATTCTGTTGGAAATAGACAATTTTAACGTACATCTCAATTGGTTTTTCTATTCACAATATTATTACTGGCGAAATATCATGTAGACCAAACTTATGACTGACATGCCAACAAGATTATTTTATGTCATCTAAATCCATCTTTCACATTCGAACATTTTCTCTCTTCGTGATTGCTAGTTTTTAGTTTCTCCGTTCTTTCGCTAAACTTCAAC